TCATAGCAGAATATAGTTTGGCAGTGTACAGTCATGGCCAAAAATATTGGCACCCCTGCATTTCTGTCAGATAACGCACCACTTCTCCCAGAAAATTGTTGCAGTCACAAATTCTTTGGTACTGTCATGTTTATTTTTTTTGTTTGCATTGGAACAACAAAAAATCAGAGAGAAAAAGCCAAATCTGACACATTCCACACAGAACTCGAAAAATGGACTGGACAGAATTATTGACACCTTTTCAAAATCACCTGAAATAGTTGTACTTCAGGCATGTGATGCTTCTTTAATTTGTAATCTAACTCACCTGTAGCAACCAACAAGTGCTGGCAATACAGAAATCACACTTGCAGCCAGTTACAATGGAGAAAAGTTGACTCAACCTTTCTGTCGTGGACCACACTGAGCATGGAGAAAAGAAAGAAGAGCAAACAATTGTCTGAGGATTTAAGCATCAAAATAGTGGAAAATCATGGACAGTCTCAAGGCTGCAAGTCCATCTCCAGAGAGCTGTCTGTTCCTGTGTTCACTGTGCACAACATGGTCAAGACATTTACAGCCCATGGCGCTGTAGCTAATCTCCCTGGATGTGGATGAAAGAGAAAGATTGATGACAGATTGCAACAAAGGATTGTTTGAATGGTGGATAAAGAACCTCAATCAACTTCCAAACAAATTCAAGTTGACCTGCAGAAACAGGGTGCAACAGTGTCAGCTCGCACTATCATCACCATCTGAATGAGAAGGGAAACTATGGTGACCCAGAGGGACCCCGCTGCTGACACAGAAACATAAAAAACCAGATTGGAGTTTGCTGAAACCTACCTGAAGAAGCCACGGTCCTTCTGGGAGAATGTCCTGTGGTCAGATGAGACTAAACTAGAGCTTTTTGGTCGAGCACATCATTCTACTGTTTTCAGAAAGTTAAATGAAGAACATGGTCCCTACAGTCAAACACGGTGGAGGTTTGCTGATGTTTTGCTGCTTCAGGCACTGGATGTCTTGACTGTGTGTATGGCATTATGAAGTCTGAAGACTACCAACAAATTCTGGGGTGAAATGTAGGGCCCAGTGTCAGAAAGTTGGGTCTCCCTCAGAGGTCATCCGGCTTACAATGACCCAGGACAATGACCCAAAGCAGACTTAAAAGCCACCCAGAAATGGTTTCAGACAATTAGTGGGAACTTCTGAAGTGGCTAGCAATAAGTCCAGATCTAAATCCCATAGAGCACCTGTGGAGAGGTCTCAAGGAACCCTTCAAATCTGAGACCGGGAGCAGTTGGCAAAAGAAGAGTGGTCCATAATTCTAGTGGAGAGGTATAAGAAACAAACCGATCATTATAGAAAGGGATTGATTTCAGTGATTTTGTCCAAAAAAGCATGCTAACAAAGATTAAGTTCAGGGTGTCAGTAATTCTGTCCTGTTCATTTTTGGAGTTCTTTGTGGAATGTGTCAGAATTGGCTTTTTTCCACTGCTTTTTTTGTGTCGTTCCAATGCGAACAAGAGAAATGAACACGGGAATACCAAAGAATTTGTGATTGCAACAGTTTTCTGGGAGAAGTGGTGCGTTATCTGACAGAAATGCAGGGGTGCCAATATTTTTGGCCATGACTGTATGTTGCTATGGTAATCCTGCAGCTGGCAATGCTCCAGTAATAGAATGATCTGGGTCTAGTTATTCTATATACTAGCCCCAAAGATGGAAGAATGAAATCTTTCTCTTTATGTGCACACACATGTACATGTATGTTCAATAAGTAATGGCACTGTTCACAATTTCCTGGTTTTCTGCATAAATTGGTCATGAAATGTGATCTCAACAATGTCATAAATATCAACAAACACAATATTTCTAAGCTGATAGAACACAAACAGACATGATCTTTCATGTCTTTACTGAACAAACCTATTAAACATAGAAAGTGATGGTGGAAAAAGTCATGGCAACAGTGTTTTCAAGCAAGCATTTCCTGTAATTGTGGATTAGACCTGCATAAGGTTCAGGAGGAATTTTGGACCATTCTGAGGTCCAGGTCCAGAGGCAGCAAATCACGATGCTCCCTCCTCCGTACTTCACTATTGGGATGTTATCATGTTAGTGTGCGGTTCTCTTTTTATGTCATACGTAGTGCTGTGTGTTCTTCCCATACAATTCTACCTTTGTTTCATTCGTCCACAGGACAATTTCCCAGTAGTGTTGTGGAGTGTGAGGGTTGTCTTCGGCAAACGTCAGGGGTGCTGCAATGTTGTTTTTGGAGAGTAGTGGCTTCCTCTGTGGCATCCTGCCATGGATACCATGCCTGTTCAATATTTTGTGTAGAGTTGGCTCATGAACAGAGATGTTAACCAACTCCAGTGAATCCTTCAAGTCTTTAGCTGTTACTCTTGAGTATTCTGCATTTTGTCTTTGGAATGATCTTGGCTGGGTGCCCACTTCTATGGAGAGTAGCCACAGTACCAAATTGTCTTCATGTATACACAGTTTGTCTAACTATGGACTGATGAATATCTGAGGTCTGTGAGATGACTCTGTAACCCTTTTCAGCTCCATGCAAATCAACAACCCTTGATCATGGGTCTTCTGAGATCTCTTTTTTGTGAGGCATGGCTCACATCAGCTGATGCTGCTTGTGAATAGCACACTGACACTGTTTCAGCGTTTTATAAGTAAAGGTAGTTTTAAACCACACCTCCATTCTCATTTCATTGATTTGGATGCCAGGTTTACTAACATCTGACTCCAGTTGACCTTTAGTGACATCAAAAGCCTGGTGTTGACATGACTTTTTCCACCATCACTTTGTATGTTTAATGGGTGTAATAATAAAGACATGGAAGATCATGACTGTGTTTTATCTGCTCAGAAATATTGTGTTTGCAAATATTTGTGACTTTGGTAAAAATCAGATCACACTTCCTGACCAAGTTATGCAGAAAACCAGGAAATTGCAAACAGTGACATTACTTTTTTCTCTTGTATTTATGCCTTATCAATCTGTAAGCGCTGTATTGATTGGCTATAAGATATTTCCTCTAATGTGCCAGAAGATGAGGCGTGCAGGGGAATAGCTTTCATTTAGCCTCCAAGCTCTTAAGAGAACATCTATCTATCAACATTTCCAGGCATGGGGAGGGGTCAGGAACAAGTAGGTGGTTTGATTGCACACACACACATAAGAAGGAGCAGGATTCATTAAAATAGCAACAGCATCCAGCAGCCAGCACACCTTAGCAAAGCTTGAACATGTTGTTGTTTACACTGTGGGAGGCATAGAGCTGATACATCTCAGAGAGCTGCTACTTTGAGCAATAGATCCTGTGTTTTGTGGTAACAGCTAGGGCAGGAGAGTATCATTATTAGTGCCAGGGCTCAGGATTTATGTGTTCGGTGCAAGTATGCAACAATCTGTCCAGTGTTTTTAATAAGGGGGGCTATAGCGTGAACATTACATCTGGGTGCCTCTTGAGCTTTCTGCTGGGTTGATATGAAGTATCGTGATGATAATGTCTTTCCATGTTTTTACACTCAAGCTCCGTTTGCTCTCTTCGCACTCTTGCACAGGACTACAGACCCACAGAGCTACCATTTAGCTCTCAGCAGAGAAAGCGAACAGTCGCTCTTCCTCTCTTATCTCTCACTTAACAAAAGCCTCTGATGAAGACAACAAGCATTCTTCTTCTCCCGCTCTGTCTCTCTCTTGCTCTCTCTCATTTGTCTCTTGCTCTCCTCTGTTTAAGAGTCAGATTGTTAGTTTAACATGGCAGCTCTGACACTTTTCACATTTTTAGTCCTTTGTTGTGTGTGTAAGTGAGTGAGTGAGTGCATCCTTTTGTGTATCATTGCCTTTGCACCTGTTTGCCAATGTTTGTGCTTTGTGTACTTACACCATAGCCTGTGAGTATGCATATGTGTGTGTGTTAAAGTGCACATACCCTTATGTTAGTGTGTGTGTTTCCTTTTGTCAGCTTTCTCAGCAGTTATTGTTTTGTTGTTTGCTGCAATGAGCATCTCAGTAATTAGGGTTAACACACACACATGGAAATACATGCACAGTGTAGCCTACACTGTAGCCTGTGTACAGCTGTCTACTTTTCATTCCTGGCTTATTGTCTCCAACTAGCATTATAGCAGCAGTGCTTCTTAGCTTGTAATGTGAAGGAAATGGGTGAACAGCCTCTCTAATTACACTTCACCCACTGACACTAATTTACATACAAACACAATTGTGCTCCAATCCAAACCTTCATTATCTCTGGGTTCCATTCTGTGGAGTGTGATATTCTGACTATTATATTTCATTCAAGTTCAGTTTGTCAGAACCACTGCACTGCTTAGTCATTACACTAACTAAGAGACACAAATAGGAACATTTCTAATGAGAATATGACCCAAGAATGTCTACATTTCACAAAGGGCAAATACTAGTGTGAAAATGGGCTCTTTC